TATTTATCTTGATGGAACTAATACTGTAAATAGTACAGATTATATATTCAATAAATTATTAATTAAGAAATATTTATAAACGATAATAATAATTATTTAAGTGTTGTATGTAGAATGAGCCATCGTATGGAAATTTTCACGCAAAATTTACCCCGCTATTCCTGTAATTTACAAGTTGTTGTAATTACCACTCCAAGCAAGTTGAACATTAATTATTTTCAGTCTAACATTGATTAAATTACTCGCACATAATATTATTTTAACTTTATATTAATTCACGTCATTCCTGTCCTTCATTTTACAAATATTACATAATTTGTTTAAAATTTAAAATAAGTTTTCTAATATAAATTTCAGGAAAAGTTTAATTAAGAATTTAAGCGTTTTTTAGATTACTTAACAATTAATTCACTTTAAAATGAAAAACAAGTTGGACAAATGAGAGGATGAAAATAAATTATCATATCGTTATTGTAACAAAATTATATTTTGAAATGAATTAAATTTTTATTTTTACAAAAATACATTTCAGTAAAGACATTTTAATTTCTGCAATTTAAACCAAAAAATCTAAAAACTATAATTTGAAAAATTACTGTATGTAGTTCTACTGTTGAAAGAATTTTTAGAGAATCAAAAAATGAATGTCAGTATATCAAAAAGTGAATAGAAAGATTAAATTGAAAAATGGAACGACGGTACACATAATAATTGAAATTATAGTATACTATACTACACAGGACTATTTTCACTGCAGTATTTAACGAGTTAAAAATATTGATAAAACGTTTACGCAGTTATTTTTCATCAAACCTTAAGCTTCAAATTGATATACTATAAGTGCTATTTTGCGGTACTTTTATGTCATCAAATTCTATTAGAATTTATATGTTGCAAAATTGGTCATTATTTACTGTAACTATAAAATGTTAGCCAGCTATTTTATATTAAGAACGTTATTGAAAGATTTTTATAGTTGTTTTCATCAAACTTTATACCTAAAATTCAGATACTATGTATATGTACTATTTTGTTGTACGTTTATGTCATCTAATCGTGTCAGAGTTTTTAAAATACACCACTTTATATGTAGAAATCTAATATTAATTCATTTATAAAATGATGTTTCATGTTAATAATGAATAGTAATTAAATATCACGTTGAATTTTAGAATATAATAATGAGAAATTAACTAATATGATTTTCAAGGGAAACATGATTAAACATTCATAATATTTGATTACCTTTTTTTAACCTAGATTATTTACAGGCTTGGATGACAATTTATAGATCTATATCAAATCAGACTTCCATAGGGAAAATGGCGATATAGGGGATGAAGGAATTCTCAAAATCTATTATTAAAAATGATTTAAAAATAAAATGATATAATTTTTAATTATTATTATACTATTATTATAATAAACGAATATCAATTCAACTCCTCCCGCGTAAACGCTTATGCGCAAGTGGTGGGAGGCCACAAACCTATATATATGTAGCCTTTTTTTATGATTTAGAAGTACAAATATCTCTGAAAACAATTTACAATTTGGAGTTATATAGAATGAACTTTCAAACAATGTAATTGCAATATAAAATAAGAAAATATCAAAGCAGAACAGCCGTTCTACCTAACAGTTGAAGAATAACATTTCAAGAATTAACACGCCCCTCTGTTTCATTGAAAAAGAGAAAACGCCTATAATTAACTGAAGAATTGATACGTCGAAGGAGGAACTGGTTCTTTTTCTAATTTGAAAGCCGTCGATCCCGTTCCTTTCTGTTCCTTTTTCCATCAAATCCCCGGTATATCGACGTTACAGGAATTCGTTCGGTTCTGCAGCCGTGGTAATTTCATTTCGTTCACGCCAGGTCTTTTACAGGCTGCTGGCGGGTCCGTTGATTCGTACGTATTACTCCCTGGCCCGTGGTCGACAGAATTGTTTTTACGAAATTGACTTTTCCCTCGGCCGAAGGAGTACGGCACAAAGGAGCACAAAATCTATTGGCGTTCCATTTAATGCAGTCCCTTGCGAAACTTTCCGCTCCAGTAAGAAATTTTATTACATTTCAATATTTGGACGAAGGCCGATCTCATTATCGAAATGGACGACGTAAGGAGCGTCGATTTGCAGGAAGCCTGTGAAATCGAACAATTTGTTACGATCGATAATATAACGGAAAAATAAGGAGGAGAAAGAATAGCGTGAAAAGTAAAAGAAAATTGAAGATATCTGATAAATTTGATTATTTAAAGAATCAATTTTTATTGATTTCATTAATTACTTATCAAATCTGCTACATGAAGTGATATGTTATGAAACTTTTATATTTCTCTTTTTTTTAAATATGAAGGTTAAATAATTTTGCTTAAATAAATTTCTAAAACAGTAAAATATTTTTTGTATTGAAATTTTCCTATGCGAAATGTATAATTGACCGTAGTTTCATTGTTCTATTGCCTAAGCTCGTTTGACGATGGATCTAGGGCTAGATATTTGGAAATGTATCGGGGAACAGGTTCGGGACCATTTGTATTATCAGGGAAGGATTAGATACGGTAACTTTGAAACGTCATCGCACCGTGTATCTTGACATAACGATACTTTAAGCCTGTATCCCCTGCATTCATTGGAACGTCTGCTGTTACCACCAGAATACCAGATACCTCGTTCAGTTTGTGCATGCATCGAATTTGCAGTCAATAACACACAGCTGTGCTGTCCAAATGAAAATCCACCAATTACCACTGATACGTGTATCGATGAACGTGATATCTATTCATTAAATTTCACCGAAACTTCGCAACAGACGGGCATTATTCTCGTACTATCGGTTCCAGGATTCACTAAATCGGATCCAGAATTCTACCTAACGAATCCTCTTATACGTGTAAATCGTACGATTATACATAGTCAAATAAAGGCGTAACAGGCCGATAATTATTACTTACCAGAATTATTGTATTACAACTACTATTAAACATTTTTGATAGCTATCATTAACTGTACATACATATGTAAATAAGTTTCTTGATTTATTATTGATTAAAAAAAGATTTTGTATATTGCTAAAATATTTAGTACTAGGTGAAATATTTCAATTATTAGGCAAGATATTCTTTATTAGATTTCTGCACATAGATTTTCTAATATGTCATTAGTTAACATGTTCCTTATTATGTGAGAAAGAGGACACCTTATATGCTATTGACATTTTGTTATCTTGGTATTTTGGGATATAAAATGAAAATTTTAGTTTAAATATTTAAATCATTATATTGCTAAATTATTTGTCTCCGTGTTTCTTTAAAAATGTATTTTATTTTTATTTATTATTTCTACAATATTTCATTAGATCTGTACCTCTCTTTTTTTTTAGTTGAAGATTTATTCTTAAAAAGTTACGGTAATTTTAATTATTAGGATAATCATTATTGTTAGAATAGGCGCGGTTTATGGCATGGCGAGTTTAGAAATAGGTATTTTTTGCATTCGATAGTTTTCCCTTGCCATATGCTTGCCAGAGGTTTAACGGTACCTGGCAGAGCTCAGAATATTTAGAAAGACCCGAAGGGTAACTCTGCCGCGACGACAAAAGGGGCACGTTGACCTAGAGGAACCACGTGCGATTTCTGGAAAACCCAGAACAACTTGCATTTCCTTCCCCGTACGAAGGGCACATTCCCCTTCCAGGATCTACCACGCCAAGGGCGTACTGGAAGGGAAGAACTGTGCCTATATAATCGACGTCAAGTGGCTCGAAGGCAGATTTTCTTAGACAGAGCACAGTACATATAGAACGTAGACATAGATACACAGAATTTCCTCAAGTGTAACAAATTTCAATCTACACATTGTAACACACACACACACACACACACACACCACCATTAATTACGATTAAATAGTTCAAAATACTATCGACATAATTATTATCGGTCCCAAGCCGATCCAACTTGGGTGGTCCTTCCACAATCCATAGACGGCACTCCGTGCAAATACTCAGGACCTATCAACGTCCTAACAATTATTGTTATCATATCCTTTTGTAATTAAGAAGCCATAATTAATTTGTACAGTGTCGAACACAGTAGGTTTCCCTAGGGAAAATGGCGTTACAAGGGAAGCAGAAATTCTCAAAACCCTAATTTGTACGATATTAATATTAGAAATGATCCAGAAACAAAATAATATAAATTTGTAAATATTTAATATTGTGAATTTAGTACATAACTGAAAAGTACGAATAACAAAGTAAATATTAATTCATATTTTCAATTCTTCCCGCGTAAACGTTTATACGCAAGTGGTGGGGGACCACAGACCTATATTATATGGAGCCTCTTCCTCTACTTCGTCACTTTCCTCGGGATCACCTCCGGCGACGGATGGGAATTTGGGAAGGGGGCTACAATGAGGATGGAACCCAAGAATCCAACTGGTGGGGGAATCCCGGAACATCGTCATTTTCCCTATACTTGCCTTCACGAGAGTCCACAACTGCGAAAAGACGAGTTTTCGTCCTTTCGTGCGCATCTTCGCCCTGATTGGCGATACTCCCAAACGAAGTAGAAAGCGATTAGCGGAGAGCTCGCTGCGTTCCCCCACCACCTTCCAACCTGCGCGACGCAGTTATGGACTCTGGTTACGGCAAGTGTAGCCTAGCCTACCATGCTCAGTACTGTACGCCTAATATTTAATATTAATATTTCTAATTAGGTAAATTAAAAAATTCCTAATAATATGTAATACATTTCTTATTTTAATAATAATAAGTAATCACCTCGCTATAATTTTAAATACAATTATTTCTATTTAGCTTTTCCAAAATTTCACCAATATTTGAATATCATTATTTTTCACGTTTAATTAACTTTAATTATTTTGTCAGTCGATTACCTACCTAGGGAATAAACTTCGACAAAGTTCAACAGCTATTCGAAAATGCAACAACAAGAGACCGTAATAACGTAGTTGTGCAATGTCTGTTACAGTGACCTCGGATAACGGAAGTGAAGCTTCTACGTCGACCTGTTTGATGATTCTGACGGTGTGTACGGTCCAGCTGCTTCTGAGATAGTCGCGACACGTTTGAGGCCACGGAAAGGGAGCTCATGGGCGTCGCACGATAAACAGCGCACTAGTCAAACGAAGGAGTAAAGGTGGAAGGGAATAGAGGGGCAGTTTAAGGGACGATCGAACCGTAAAAGGGAGAAAGAGATATTGTTGAAATTCGACATGGATATTACGTGTTTTTCACCGTGCTCGGTTCGGTTTTTGTTCGAGGAACGATCGCGTATGCCGTCGCTTTAATGTTATCCTCGTCGTACGTCCCCGAATTTGCGATCGTTTCGCCGAGATCGAGACGCGACAACACAATTTAACACACGGTTCACTGATACGCTTGTCTGGACTGTCGGAGATAAATGTCCGCCGTGGCTAAGGAACATTGACGCGATACGCTTTCCGACTCGGCACACGCGCGGATCTCTCCAGGCGAATGCGTTCAACGGCGTTTTCGATTTAATATGCTCAAACGATTTCGCGTCTGGTAAGTAGCGAACAAACGGATGATCCTTCGAGGATTTTTTGAAAAATGATTCTGAGGTTAACGTGTGTATTATATTTGCCGATGGCCAGGAAAATTTCTGGACATTTTATTTGAAATAATTATTTAGTGTGGTGTTATTTTATAATTTATTTTACGAATTTCCTTGTAAGATTTTATGCACAGTAATGCAGTGTGGATCTTGAGACGAGGATCTTCAATGACAATTAAAGAACACTTATTACAATCACTAAGCGAATTAATATCTATTAATATTAGCATGTCTTCTCACTTTTCATTTATTATTCTATATAATAATGGTAGATGTCACATCATCAAATGTCCAATTTACCAATTATGTGTTCTTTATAACAGCCCTTAGATCGATTCGTAGTGGACCTCGAAGGAATTTATGCCCTTAAGTTGTAAACATCTGATTACATCCCTCGACATAGTAATTAAACTCCTTATATAAAATTAGTACCAAAAATAGTAAAAAGAGAAAAGTGTCACTATTTTAAATTAAAGTAACTGCATACCCAGAATTTATAAAGAAGGTTAAATAGTTATAATTCTTTTATTTTTTTATATTTTGATGTATTTATTTATAACATATGATTTTTGAAAATCTTTTTAAACTAAATGAAATATTATGTGACAAAGAACTGCCATTTAAGATTCTAAAATTATGCCATCATAAGCTCGTTGAGTTCAGATTATTCATGGTATTTAAAATAAAGTGTTATAGCTTTGGTGTAACTTTATAGCTGTGTAACTTTACATAATAAATTTGTAAAATGTGCTTTAGAAGTTTTGAAAAGAAAAACAAAGTTAAGGTTAAACTGAAATAACTTAATGATTTTTTGAACTTTGCGAATTTTCTGCCACCTGTATATGGATCATTATTACTTATTTAGAAATTATGCAAAAAATTTAAGAATGTGTTAATTAGTTCTTTAATACCTTCTAATAGTTTGAATTTTGCTGCCAGAAGATTAGTATTTTGAAGTAGAACAACTCCTTAAATAGTGACCACCCCTGCGATTAATGTATTAATAATTAATTAGCCTTCCTTTTTGCAATAACAATATGTTACTTTAATGTTTCTAAGCAAAGTAACATAATTATTACTTATTAATATTTTCTATGTTGAAATTATATAATATTAAATTCTTATATATTTAGATTACTGCATATTAGATAATGGTGATAACCTTCTCTTCCTCTAATTCCTATATTTACAAAATATTTCATTATCAATCAAAAACAAACCAAAACATACTTTTTCATCATTTTAACATAAGTGATTGAAAATTGGATATTCACTGATAGACAATACAAAGCTATAAACTGGTTGATTCATTATTTATTCTAAAGGAGAGCTAACTGATTGTAATTAGAATATTGATGAAACATTTATGTCGTAATTTTCATTAAATTTTGAGCTTTAAATTGAGATGGCATAGGTGCTATTTTGTGATACTTTTATGTTATCAATTAACCCTGTAAGCCCTCTACCTCTAATTACCAATTATTAACTCTTCAAACAGATAATTATGCTTTGACAAAATTCGTAATACAGATTAAGCTAGATTAGATGCATTCAATTCAAAGTTCCATAAAATGATAATTACTTACCCAATTAATTTCCAGTTTCTAAGATAAATAGATCTGGTACAACCAATAACTCTTACACCATTATTCTTCAATTACTACAATTAGCATATAAGTTCTATTTTTTGATACTTTCATATCATCAAATCCTATCTTTAAACTTTATGTACATATTTCAACGTTCTAATAATCTTATGTATATCTATTGGATATACAACGGTCTAATAGCTTCCAGTGCGCGACATTTCCAATAGAGCACACCTACACACGTTAACACCCCGAAGGATCATCGTTTCCCGTCACACATTCTCTTCCGGACACATTGACGAACGCCCGCGTAGCACATAATCGGTGTCACAGGGAGTCGCTCTAGAAACGTTAAGTTCCAGACAACGACGAACAGTTCCCACTTCAATTCGCATCCGTATTTCATCCTCCAATTCAAGGACGCGATCAGATGTCCATGCCATGTGTTTGAAGATACCTGTCACACCGTGCTCTATGTCATTTTATCTTGTATCTTACTCCGCCATTGTTCGCGGACCATCTCCAACAATCAGAGAGATACGATGGAACTTAACTTTTCTTCTCCCTCTTCTGGTGACGGTGGAAATGATACAGTTTCCGGTTTCCGTGCGAGAGTACCCGCGGGACGAGGTATCCGCGAGGAACGTACTTACGCGTTCGTCGGAGGGAATTTGCTTGAGAAACGCGTAATGATCGATAGGAGCTTGACGAACAAGGTTTAGCTGTAACTCGATTTATTTCTACGGGAGTAAAGCGTAATCTTTATTGTTTAATCGACGGAATGGTTAAAAAATGTGTCCGAGTGAACGGAACTCTGATACGCAGACTTTTTCAGATTTTTAATTAGTTTGTCATATTGATACCTTTGTATGTGATTTTTGATAGTTTAACGTGGTTTCAGTTGAAAAAATTCAAGTTCAAAATTTAGAACATTGATAGATATGATAAATTGATATTTTGGTTGTAGAGTACAGTATTGAGCATTGGGCTCTCTAGGGAAAATGGTGGTATAGAGGAAATAGACTCCATTATTTGCTATTCATAAAAACCTCGAAAATTTAAAACTAATTAAAAACTCATAAAAGCTCAAAATTTTAATTTTAGACACATTAATATTAAGAATAATTTAGGAAATATTAATATATTTGTTAATTACTAAAATTTAATATAAAACTAAAAAATATTAATAACACGGTTTAGAAACTAAAATTTAAATTATTATTGATTTAGTGATTGGGCTTTTCTCTAGAGAGGTCTCCATACTCGATACTGTACCCGCGTTCAATTTTTCATTTAAGCAAAATTAAATAATATTTTTATTCCTCTATAGCATACACTGTAAATCTATAATATCTATACTGAAAATTTTCATTTATATCAGCATCATAAGAAGATATTTGCTGAATGTGTATATAAATTTGTAAATCATCGTGATAATCTTCTTTAAATACCTATATAAATATATTATTCCCAAAAGGGTTGACTGAGAAGTTTTGTCCGTGCTTCGAATAAAAGGCAATGAATTGATGTAAATTAAGAAAACGGAACTAAAATTGCACCTTTAATTAAAAGAGGACAAAACATTGCAGTCCCTTCTATTTAAACAATGTAAAAATCATAGTCTAATATTTATTAGCTTTCTCCTTTCCCAAGGTTTAAAGACGCATTTTTTAATCACTCTGTACACCTACCATTGCGAATAAAAACAAAGTATTTTTAATGAACGTCGTGCAATCTCGCAAGTTTCGTTTGGAAATGAAAAAAGAAAACACAGCGAGGAAAAAATATACCGAACGATGACGTAAACGTAAAGAAACACCCTGTATAACCTTAGATATAGGTATAGCGAGAACGAATCAAAGTAATAAGTGTAATTTTAAGTTACGTTGAAGTTTGTATTAAATATCGCGTATGGACGATACAAAGGTACGAATTATTGCGTAAAACGAAACCCAACAAGCCTTTGAAAAAGTGTCTTTCAGGAACGAGCTGCTTTTCTTACGTACATATCCCTCCTCGCTCTCACTCCTTTCCTTCTCACGAATATTTCCTTCTTTGCCAGCGGATAAATTGTGTCAACAATCGGGCTTCTCTTACGCTGAAAACGTTTTACAGAATACGAATGCTCTCGCTCGCTGAATCCATCGATGGAGGAAGAAAATGCACGCGCAGACACCACGTTTCTTCTTCCTATTCCCGTTTTTATTAAAGCAACTCGTGAAGGATTTCGTGTGTCTATAAACCGGCCACGTGCCCCGTGTTTCCTTCCGAATTGCGGTTACGAAAACCTTTCTACCACTATGCGAGCCTCCATTTCATTTTTGAAGATGTCTGGTGAACTCCGTTGTAGAAGAGGAAAGTGGTACAAGAAGAGCTATTTCTGGAGCGGGTGCATCAACGATGAATGAAATGATGCATATGTTGCGTCAAACGAGATAAAGTGGTGTTAATTCGTAACACATTTCCTTATGGATGCTTCAGATGCTGAAGGTCTTATCACTCGATATTGCGTGCTGGATTGCACATTTTTTAATACACTTATGTCAACATGTAGTAGGCGTGTGCGGGCAGTTGATATGTCGGGCTCGGGGCGGGTCGAAAGAAGTCGAGCAGACTCGGGTCAGGTCGGAAGAAATCGAGCACAGTCGGCTTGGGTCGGGTCGAAAGAAATTGAGTAGTCTCGGGTCAAGTCGGAAGAAATCGAGCACTGTCGGCTCGGGTCGGGTCGGAAGAAATCGAACAGACTCGGGTTAGTTCGGGAGAAATCGGGCGAACTCGAGCGATCACCCGACACACGCGTTCATTCGAGTAGCCCAGTTCTTTCGGGTCGGGTTCGGTCGGGGCGGATCGGAAAAAGTCGAGTGGACTCGGCAGCTACCCGATACATTATGTCCACTCGCGTAACTCGAATCTTTCGGGTCAGTTCGGAAAAAGTCGGGCGTACTCGGGCGATCACCCGACACACGCGTTCTCTTCAGTAGCCCAGTTCTTTCGGGTCAGCTCGGAAGAAGTCGGGCTACTCAAATGAATGCATATATTGGGGCTTCGTTCGAGCTAGCCCGACTTATTTCGACCCGACCTGATAGATCGGATACCCGATGCATTGGACGGTACGTACACCCCTAGTCAGCAGCAATCAGGAGGAGGAGCATAAAATATTAATTAAGTGGACAGAAGACTTTCTTCTAAGGTTACTTTTTTATATATTTTTATATATTCTTTTTGCTAATATTTCTCTCAGAATATTAAAAAATTTATATTATTTTTCCATAGTATCTAACAAAAGTAGAACAAAATTATCTATTTCATAATTGATTTTCCATTGTAATTGGTATATTCAAGCATTGAAGTTTTCATATTCTACGAATAAAATTTTAATTATTGTAAAATTCATAGATAATTAGTAAAAAAAATTGTTCATTAATTCGCATATTTTGTACCATTTTGATATTTCATATTTCGTTTGTTATATTGTTTATCGTAAGATAAATTTTCATATATTGAAGAGGCAGATATTTTGTCATTTGTCCCTGGTATGTTTTTGTTTCCAGGTAAATTGTGAGAAACCATTTATTTCGTTAAAGAGAGAAGTAGTTTTCGCTGAAATAGCTTGAGCATGGGATGCATAATATAATTGGTCTTTTTGTTATATTAACCAGCAGAGCAGAGCTGTGTTAGCACCACACGCCATTTCGTAAATTCTGCCCTCGTTTATACAATTGTATCTTTCATCTACCGCCACGACCCACCTTCCGCGGGGATTACAGTTACACACAACTCTCGAATGTTTTCGGTAGATCCCAGTGCTAACTTGTTAGTAAATGTTTTCTCCAGCAAAGAAATAGAGCAAGAAAATAGTAAAATATACATTTTTTTACGTATAATTTTGCGATATGAATACTTTGAATATAAAAATGCTCTAACTTTATAATTTTTAAAACTATTTTTCCAATCAAAGATTTTAGATAATTTAATGCTGAAATAGCAAGAATTCAAACTTAATTTTAGATTTCTTTCATTTTCATTTTTTAAGTTTTCAATTATTTTTTTATATATCATTTTTCCAATGTATAAAGGCCTTTTGATAACAAATTCAATTTTGCAATTTTAATTGAATTATCCTGGTATGTTTTATAAATTTGAGTTATTGATCCAGAAATTATTGCTGCATTCAAAGATATATATTATTTAATCAAAATAAATTCTAAAATAAGTGTTTAATTTTTGTCTACATTTGGAATGAATTAAAGTACACTGGAATTTTGCCGAATTAGTCATAAATAAAAATAAAAGTTATGTTCAAAGAGGATCTGATGTTGATACAATATAAAAAAAATACAGAACTTTATTTTTAAAAAATACCGATAACATTGAAATAAAAAGCTTTAAAAAAATTCTTTTCTCCGTTAGATATACTCACGATCAAATCAGGCTTTCCTAGAGAAAATATTGATTTAGGGAAAGTAGGAATTCTCAAAATCAGTATTAATATTAAAAGTAATTTAGAAACAAAATAATTCAATTTTTAATCATTAAATATCATAAAATTTAGTATATAATTGAAGAATACGAATAATAAAATAAATAATAATTTAAATTTTCCCACGTAAACGTTTATACGCAAGTGGTGGGGAGCCCGAGATCTATATATATATATGTGTTCTCTCCCCTGCAGCGGCATTCTCTTCGAGATCGCCTACGGGGAGGGATGGAAACTCGGGATATTAGTATTTTCCTTGGAGAAGCCTGATTTAATCGCAAATGTACTCTTTGGAAAAATATAACTTCTTCTTAATTATTTTGGTAATTATTATAAGTTTGCCCTCCTCACCGATTTTCGTGATCTTTTTTCTATAAAATCATAAACTAATACATATTTCTACAAAAATACTAAAAAAATAAACCTAAAATCTGTCATTTTTTTTAAATTTGATTCTTCTAGTTTTAAACGATAGCTCTAAGAAACGTCTAATTTATAAGACCGCCTCAATTCCACTCAATCCTTTTTCACTTGTCTGATCAAGTAGTATTACCTTGTTACGACTTATAGCATGGTTCACGGAACACCCTGTATAAACTTGATACCCCGAAAGCCAGTGTACGGGCAAAGGCCACAATTAACTCAAGATCCCTGTACTCTGTAGACATGTCGAAGCTGCCAAAGTCGCGGAAGGAAGCCCGACACCTGCTAAGGCCAAAGTTTGCTCGACGAATACCGTGCAGGTACACCACCTTCGGGATATTGTGTGCTCTCTGAGCTGCCTCGGATGATTGTGTATCTCCCCCCCGCAGTTGTACGTATACTACTATTAGTCGTGAGCTGTACGTGTATCTATCCGTTAGAATGGCTGCCGCCTAACACAGATACGCGATAAAGGAAACGACCTTTCAGTTACCTGAAACGCCGTCGCCGTAACAATTACCACTGCTGCCTCTCTCTGTGTTCTCTCCTATCTTCCGCCATTCCCACCCTTCATCCTCTTTACCGCCCACGGTTGTCCCTTTCTGTTTATCCATCTGTCTTCTCCGTTTCCGTTTCCATTCCTTTTTGTTACTTTATCCTCTCACCACCTCGTCCTGCCTTTCTGTTCGCCCCCATCCCGCGGACAGCGACACAGGTGGCGCCACTGTGAAAGTAGCAGTTGATGGCGTGAAGAGACTCTGCTCCACTGACTGGATGCAAAATAAACTTTGTTTCAGGCTACGCTTAATATCCCTCCAGCCATCAAATACGGTTACGTCCCCGACCCCGTATATCTATACCCGTTTCCCACGGATTCTCTTCTTGGTCCGTCACTTCGCCGTGAGGTAAACCGCCGCAACTCCATCCGCGTTTCGGTCTCGTTATGAACATCTTCAATGACACATCGGTCTGATACGTTTAGTTTGCAGACTGCGCTTTCCTCTATCCATACGCATCGCTGATTCAGAAACTTTCCTCGGAGAATAACGGCCCCTTTCACGCTTCGCTGACCTACGCCGGGGACATTTTTGTTTCACCCTCCCAGCTGGCTTTGATGCTTGCTAACTTCCGAATCGCGTGTCCCCGTGCAAACAGAGCCCCGCGTACCTTTTATCCGGCACAACGAGGTGCGAAACGGTGGACGGGTAATCTTTTAATGGTATTTAACTCTCTGTAGCACGATTTCTTTTTTTCGGACTGAAAAAAGGACTGCCAGGTTATGTTTAGAGATAAGAAACAATGTCAGAGGAAAATAATTTTTCTTTTTCTTTTTCATTTTTCATTTTCTCCGAGTCGGTTTCGCCGTCCTGGAATTGACCTGTAATTGAAATAAGAAACGGTCCTGCAAAGGAGACAAGAGCAAACGATTCGCGAAGTTACAGTGATGCAAGGAGTTTCGATTAAAACAAAACTTTTCCAAGCAGTTTAAAAACTCCAACGCCGGAAATGAATCTCGGGCCACAGTTACTCGGCGAAAGCATTTGAAACCCGTTGGGAAGAAAAGTTTTCAATGGCTTTTGGAATTGTTTTCTGTGTTCAAGGCCGCGTTTCGTGGACATTATTTTCAGCAAAGCACCGCATTAGCCCGGAAGAAAGACGATCGGAATTAGGTCGCGCACGATCTTTGTCCCGTGAATGCCGATTTAGGGAGACAGAGTAATGGACTTTGGCTACTTTATGCCCCCTTTTACAACGACCGATCCTCCAGGAAATGGCTCCGAGGACCTCCGCTTCCGTCTTTGAAACGCAACGACTAAATCGGCTTGAATTGATATCACGTGGAACTAAAACTCCGGCTGTTTGCGCGGGAATGATCGTACTTTCAAAATAGTATCCGAATAAGAAGCACCCTACAGATTGTTATTTAATGAAACATCGGCTAAAACTATAGAAAAAGACCGATTTTCTTGTTTTTCGGATATGTTACAGAAAGAAGGGCCCTATGTAAATTCAGTACCTTCTTAAGGCATATGCATGCTGGGCAATCGCCAGGGGTTCAATTATTATAGAG